TTGCAAAGGCGCGCCTTTTCCGTGAACCCGGTGGCGGATCATCTCACGAACAAGAACACGCACGAATTTTGAAATTGCACAGGGGAAGGAACGGCTGAGCGATGGCAGGATGATGCGCACCCTCCTCTGGACGCCCCCCGAGAGTAGAGGAGGGGAGGCCGGAGTTGAGCCATGCCGCTGTGGTTCTGGATTCTACGTCGCAGTCGGGTCGCAGAAAGCAGCCTGGCGCCCCAGCATATTCCTGTGATGCGGAAAGAGAAGAGCCAGATTTCTCGATGTTGCTTCTCACCACCCACCAAACCACCCCAACCCAACCCGAAGGCTCAGATTTACCCTCGATTTCCAGTGGGGGGGGGCCGGGGAACATCGAGAAAACACATGTGGAACCCTTACCCTAGTCAGCTTCCGTCGACCACTGTCTGCTCGGGGCTGCACTGTGGCCTTTTCCCTCGCACTCTGTGTAAGATATCCGCTGGCCCTGAGTGCATCTCCAGACCGGAGGACGGGGCAGCACGGAGGGCGCTGCGAACCCGTGGCAGCTCGGGACCCGCGCGCCGCGCTGCTCGCGCGCAGCGGGGGCGGGAGCCGTGGCCCCGCGGTTGGCCTTTGCCGATTCGGGCCCTGCTCGGGCGTTGCGCCACAGGGGGGGGGGGCCGAGACATCGAAGGCGGGCCTGTCCCTCTACAGGGGAATATTCAGACATAGTTAAAAAGTGGGGGGCCGATTCCTTGAGGATTTTTAAGCATGTGTTGATTATTTTTCTGGCTACTTTTCATGTTCCTTCCACGTTCGCCTGTAGGAGGACATGCCCGATCACACGATACATGTCAGAGGAGGAAGTGGCACCCATGCCTCTACCCTTGTCCCGTTTTTCCCGGTTTGGGCGCCTCCTAGGCCCTCGTCGCCACCGCTGGATGCGCCCCAGAATTCTTGTCAGGGCGCACCCCTCGAGAGAGCTCCAGGGAGTAGCGGTGTCGGTCGGTGCCTTTGGTCAAGGGCGTCTTGATATGATTTGCTAAAGGGGCTTCTGTCCACCACCGATCGACGAGTGCGCGGTGTTCGCGGCAATGTTGCCATGGAGCAAGCGGGTTTTCGCGGGTGCGGGTCTCTACGGCCTGGACATCAGGTGTGGCATTTTATTTTCCAGTGGCTGCGTTCGAACGGCAGAACGACTGCATAACCACACGGTTGGGAAAGAGTTGGGGTAGCGTGTCGCTCCGCAGGTTCTTGCCCAGCACGCCTCGATCGAAAACAAGAGGTGCGCGATAGTGTGGGGCCGGAAAGTTCGGGATGGCGTGTCGCTCCGCCGGTGCTTGCCCACCACGCTTCTTGCCGCGGCACTCTGTCCACCGTCCCGTTCCGCAGGCCTCACCGTCCCGAGCTCCTCGCCGCCTCCCGATCCCTGCGGAGCGGAGCGATACGCCGTCCGCTGGCACGGCACAGAGAGCGTGGCGCCGGGGCCGCCGCCGCCGCCGCGACACGCAGAGCAAGCGCTCCCGATTGCAGTGTCTCTGAGGTTGGTGGAAGAAGGTCAATGGAGAGGAAGCATGCTGCCAAATAATTTCCAGATGTCCGAAAGATGGTTCAAACATGTTCTAAACATGTAAAACGCATGTTTGAAACATTTGTAGAAGATATTTCACACATTTAAAACACATCGTTAGTTCAATGGTAGGAGTGTTAGAGTGTCCATTGTCATGGCATCCACAACTCTAAGGTTGGTGGAATAAGATCAATGGAGAGGAGGCACGAACGAAATGGGTACGGAAAGAATGGGTGCGATGCCCATCAGCAGTTCCTGTTCGCTTTGAACAGGCCTCGCTGTCCGCGCCGCCGCGGCTTATGTCCACTTGGGACAGGAGGCCGCCTACCCAGCAGCGGCCGCTTTTGGTTTGGGACAAAATTTGTTGTTGGGCATTGTACCCATTCTTTCGGTACCCATTTCGGGTGTCCAAAGAGAGGAGGCAGATTGCCACATACGTTCCAGATGTATAAGGCATATGTGTCTACAGTGCTAAGGAATGTTTTAAACATGTTTCGAACTTGCTGAAAAAACATGAAGAAGATATTTGACTGAACTGTTGAATTCGATGATCGAACAGCTACGTAGATGGCTCACTGTCATGGCATCCACAGCTCTGAGGTCCGCTCGGGGTCCTTGGGGTCGCCGGCCCGCAGGCTCGGGGTCGGCGCAGTGGGGCTCGCAGTGTCGGGGCCCGTGGCGTCTCTGGAGGGTATATGTCGTGTACCCAGCACCACCAGAGGCGTCACGGTGGCCGCGAGTGGTCAGGCGACAAGGGCCATGAAGCTTTGCAATGTATGAGCCCTCCGCCGGTAGGAGGGGGAAGGATAGGGAGGGAGAAGGAGAAGGATGGGGAGGAGGAGGAGGAGGAGGAGGAGGAGAGGAGGAGGAGGAGGTGGAGGAGGAGGAGGAGGAGGAGGAGGAGGAGGAGGAGGAGGAGGAGGAGGAGAGGAGGAGGAGGAGGAGGAGGAGAGAGCAAGAGAAGGGGGCAGGATAAGTCGAGTGACGACGCCGAGCACGAGGGAGGAGCAGCAGTGTGAGGGCGAGGGGTGGAGGGACACGCCCGGGGACGGAAGGCGTACTCCTTCGCCAACTCCTTCGTCGGCAGGGCTGTGCTCGGTGCGGGGCCGCTCCCTCCGCCCCCTCATGTTCCTACCCCTCCTCCTGCTCCTCCACCTCCCCTTTTCCTGCTCCCGCTCTTTGGCAAATCATGGGGTGCGGTGTCCTCCTCCTCCTCCTGTTATTCCCCCTCCTCCATCTCTTCCTCCTCCTCCTCCTCTTCCTGTTCCTCCCCCTCCTCCTCCTCCTCCTCCTCCTCCTCCTCCTCCTCCTCCTGTTCCTCCCCCTCCTTCTCGCCCCCTTCAGTTCCTCCCCCTCCTCCTCCTCCTCCTCCTCCTCCTCCTCCCCCTCCTCCCCCTACTCCTCCTCCTCCTCCTCCTCCTCCTCCTCCTCCTCCTCCTCCTCCTGCTCGTCCAGGCCCTTTCCTGCTTCTCTCCCTCCCTGGCAAATCTTGGGGGGCGGTGTCCTCCAGATGTGAAGGCACCCCAAAGAAGGGGAACGGCTACCTCCCCTCTGGTCGCACCAGGCCAGGAGTCCCGTTTGTGGGGAACTTCGTCCTTGACAAGACGGGCGAGTACACTGCCCGCTCAGGGTCAGGAACTTATCAGAGCCTGACCCTCCGCAGGAGGTGCACCACCACAACCCGCGAGCATTGCGGAGGTGGTGCAGAACGTGTACATGCCACGGGCATCTTTTACAACGAGACCTGAGCCACTCGGATTTCGGCAGGGCTCGAGTGGGAACGGAGAGGCATACTGTGAGCATTTGAGCGAACCCCCCGAGGGGTGGGAGGCGTGGGCAGAGGTGAGCTGGGCGGCAAGCTCGACCGCTCGGCGAGAGTGAGAGCTCTTAATTACCCCGAGGGTCGCTTCGGCCCTGGCTTGGACCTCCGCTACCCTGATGGTGAGCACATGTTCACAAACTTTCAAGGTCAGATCGTCAAGCCCAGCCAACTTGGCTGTGGATTCACTCGGGATGGCGGCAAGCTTCCCGCCGAGTTCGGCTGCCGTGTCAGTTCCCTCGTTCGCAGCAAAATCGTTTTCGCTAGCGAGCCTCCCAATGTCAGCTTGTGATATGGCCAGGCGTTTCGCTGTAGGCGTCCTCACCATTTACACGATCCTGAAGCCTGGCACTTGCGACAGATTCGAGGATGGAGGGCGGGCTGTCTTCAAAACGTGCTTCTTGCCAGCGCCGCGCGCACTTGTTCTGAAAGTTTGCATCCAGTTTCAAGGATGGAGGGCGGCTTCTTGTTCAACATCTGGTTGCCGCCTCAGCGCCGCGAACACTCGTTTTTACAGCTTGCTGCAGTTCTGAGGGGTCGTACGGTTGAATTCCCAGGGATGGTTTTCTGGCACGATTTCGGATTGTAAGGACGCCACAGTCATGTTGATTCGCGGTGTTGAAGCCCTAGAACGGTGTTCTGGCGCATTTGGGTGTTGTCCGGACGCAGCAGTCATGTTGATCTGTGGCGCTGAACTATCAGGAATTGTGTATTGGCGCGATTGAGGATTATCAGACGGTTGTCTTCCACGGGGTCGCTTCCCGCGACGAAATTGTCTGGACCTATTAAGAAGGAATTTCTAGCGAGGGTTAATTGCATCATCGTTGGTGCGTCTTGGGTTTGCACTGGTCCTCCCCCTCCTACTTCCGATTTGTTAATGCCACGTTTGTGCACCCCTCGCCCGCGAGCCTGCATCCAGCAATAACAAAATTGCAGAATCACGCTGCCTCAGAAGGTTACCAACATCCCAAACAGCGGAAGGCTGGCGCCGTTGTTTTTGCTACCCCAATCACTCTGGACATGCTCATCCGAATGGCGCAGACGATGCTTGAAGCAACAGTCAGTAGCAGCAGATAGTTATAGCCAAGCCTTTCAGTCAGATGCGATGCTCTTCCCTCTGCAGACTTCGCTGCAAGAGCCCGCAAACGGCTCTCTACGAACAAGGTGAGGGCTGCCTTTATATCCCGAAGAAGAAAAAGCGGCATGCACATGCGTAAGCGTTCGGAGGTCGCGAGGATTTCGTGAATCAGCGTTGAACCCCGTTCCCTGGCCAACAGACCCCAAGACGTCTTCGACAGTTCGTGTGTGTGTGTGTGTGTGTGTGTGCGTGCGTGCGTGCGTGCGTGCGTGCGTGTGTGTGTGTGTGTGTGCGTGTGTGTGCGTGTGTGCTTGTGTGTTGTTTCGCTGGCAATGCGGTCAGGGACGTTGATTCAGCGTGTCGCGCCGCGGGGTCTGGCCCACCGCGCTTCGGCGCAACGCGCTGACCCGCGAGCCCGGTCTCAAGTGTCGACGCCCCGAGCTCGTCGCAGCCTACCGCCCCGCGGAGCGGCGCGAAGCACGCTATGGCAGCCTGCGGGGCATGGAGAGTCGCGGGGGCCGCCGCCGCCGCGACGCGTTGAGAGCTGCAATCCATGGCGCCGCCTCCCGGGCCCCTCGGGGCTTTTTGGGGTGGCCCAGCACGGTTCCAGGCCAGCAGAAGGCGAGGTTCGATCGGCGTCACCCCGGCAGACTTCTACCAGATGTGCGCCGCCCCCAAAAGGGGCGACGCGCGCACCGAGAAATCTTGTAGTGTATGCGTCGTGGCGGGCGCTTCCTGGCCACACCGCTCGGGAAACGATACACTACACGATGGGTACGCTATCTGTTCGGGTCGGACGCGCGCCGGGGCCCCCGGGTCGTGGCAAGCAGATGCGGGGCGGCAAGCCGCTTCAGATGGAGCCCAGGAGGGGCCCAGGGATTCAGGTTGAACGGATTTGGCTTCATCCCCCTCCTAGCCTTAAGTCGGGCGTGTCTCTCTACAGGAGGAATATTCGAAACTTGTCAAAAAATAGTCTGGGAGCGTCTTTTAACACCATTTTCGACCCTTTGGGAGTTTGTTTAGGGCATGTTTTAAACAATTGTTCGTTCAACATCCGCCTGCAGGGGGACATGCCCCGACCTAATCCTAGCCAGTCCTTCGAGGTCCCAACCAGTTCGGATCCCACGGCCGCCTCCAGCTCCCGGGGGCTCGTGCTGCGCCGCTCCTCGGGCCGCGTCAGTCGAGGAGCCAGACACGTCAGGAACATCCGCTTGCGGCGCTCAGAGAGGATCTCTTGGACGGGTGCTGGAGCCGCGCGTGGGAGGGTGTCAGCGCCGATTCAATGAATCCGCGCGGACCTTCCAAAGTACATACTCATGTATCGCGTTGCTTCTCGATGCGCTGCTCCTGGAGCTGCGTCAATCCATGGTGGCCCCTGGGCCGCGACCCCATGGATACGGGCGCGGATCGCATCCATGCGATCGCGTATCCACGAGATCGCGCCCAAGAGTCCAGACCGTCAGCGCGTAGATCGATGCGCTCGCTGCCCGTGAGACTCGGCGGGGGTCGTCGAAGCTGTTCTTCAGCGCCCCCCTGCTGCCCACGTCAAGCAGCGGCGAAGCGATTTGACTTGCCTAGGCCCGCGAAAGCATGCTCCAAGAACCATGTGTGGTGTTCACGAAGTGATATCATATTATTTCTGCCTGCAGCAGGCTTGCTTTGATCAGTCGGCTCTGTTCTCTCAGACCTCGTTTTTGTCATTCGTGGTCGTTCTCGTATTTCGCCAAGCGGCGCGGGCCCTCCCTTTCCAGGCCTCCAAAATTTGTCTTTCCTTGTGCCCGACGCGGGCTCGATCTGGACTCGACGCGGATTCGGCGTGGAGTCGACGCGGATGCGGCACGGGTTCGGCGCGGATAGGGCCGCGACGGGACAGACAAGGTCCTCCGAGGATTCAGCAGAAGGGCGTTCGAGGAGGTTGGAAGATGGGTCGTCGAGAACGAACCCCTAACTCGAAAAACACGATGACGACGTGGCCTCACTCTGGTCTCCGTCTTCGCATTCGGGATAATACATCTGGGCGGTTTGGTCTGATACATCTGCGGGAAAGACCCTACATCCCTAATGTTGTTGGCCCTCCTGATTTAGGTGCCCTCCCAAGCCTCGGTGGCTTCGCGCCGCCCGGACGCGGCGGCGGCCCCGGCGCGGGCGTTCACGGTTGAGCGCCGCCAGCGGCTCGGAGCCGGCCGACCTCGAAGGATTTGCGCTACGGGGTAGGCTCGTCAAAGAAGGCGCCGGCGTGCCAGCATAGGGCATAGGCGACTGCGAAGGGTATGGTTACGCCGGGGTGTGGTTTGCGATCGGCACCGTCGGGGCCTGGGGGGTACGACACTTGATGGGCCTGTTTTCCACCACCACCACCATAAGTTGGAGGGGGGAAGGGGGTGAAGGACGAGGAGGAGGAGGAGGACGACGAAGAGGAGGAGGAGCAGGAGGATGACCCCCTCCCCCTCCTACTTATGGTGGTGGTGGTGGTGGAAAACAGGCCCACCAACACTGTCCTCGTCGGGCCTCCTCGGGGCGCGGCGGAGAGCTCTGTCGAGGTCCTCGCCCGCGCCCTTCAGGGTGCCCTTCCGGGTGCCGGTGGCAAGCCACACCCTGCGGAGTCGCCGACAGGAGGTGCCCCCCCTGGAAGTCGCTTGTCACCCCCGATGGTGCCCACTCAAGCCCTCGGGCACCTCAGGAATCGGGTCGGGCGAAAGGAGGGGATTGGGAAAGGGGGGGTTACGAAATTTGCTGCATGCAGCTGGTTTCGGCCTCACCGAGGGGCCCATTCCTCGATACATAGCCGCCTCCGGCGCCGGGAGGCGCCGGGAAAATCAGCTACGTGAGCTGATTCTCAAACCTCCCCTTTGCTATCCCCCCCTTTCGCCCGACCCGAAGGAAGCTCAAAGCTCGACGAGCGTGCCCTTCGATTGCTCGGTGGAATGTGTGTTGCCGAATGGTTGGAAGCTGCGGCCCCTCAGGGCTGAGCACGATCCACGCGGTCGGAGAGCAACGCCGACGTCGTCGCGGCACGAGCTTGCCGCAGGCATGAGCAGAGGGCACGAGCTTCCCGCAGGCATGAGCAGTGGGCTCGCTCCGCTGCCCCCGCCCTCCAGCGCTTTGAAACGCAACGAGGGCGACTGGCAGTTTCACAGCCTGCGGCCCCTGGGAGGGCCGCTTTCGGGCCGTCGAAAGATAGCTCCGGATGAGAGAAGCTGGCCCCAGATCGGGGGTCGAGACGGCACGGGGTTGGCGGGCTCAACAGAACATGCACTCGGCGGAGGTCTGGGTATGCCCCTCGTGTCGACGCGCTCGTCGAAGAGATTGCTAGGCCCAGACCCTCTCATATGAAAAAGTCACGACGGAATGTTTTCTAAATGTTCTGCTTCTAGAGGCCCTTACTGGACCTCGGGACCATGAAACATCGCATCGGGATGAAAAACCGGCCCCGGGGAATGGGTCGAGATTTTTGGGAGCCGACGGCATGAGAAAATCATGACGTCGGGGGTCTGGAGAGTCGACTGATGACCATGCCTACACCCCTCGCGCCAACTCTTGTGCATCATTGCGGAAGGGTCTTCGTTTGCTGGCGCTTCTGGTGGCTCCTTGGACAGGCGGGGGGTTCTGGCGAATTGCGCACGGGGCCGGGAGAGGAAAGAGGAGGTTGCAGAGAGAAAATGTTCAAGCAAGGTGCCTTCGCGCTTTATTTCTACGTGCGCTGGCAATACGACATAGCAGTCCTCCCCGGCTACGTCGAAAGCCCAACAGACGCAGACAAAGCGGCGAGGTTCTCCCGCTCGTCGATGGGAAGGGAAGAGGACCAGCTTCAATCTGAGTCCCAGGAGGAAGAACAAGAGGCGTGCATGGTATTAAATCTGGACATATATACAGATCTGCACATACATATGTACATATATGGTGTTGTGTTTTTGCGCGTATATATATATAGACACACATCTGTACATATAGATATATGTATATAAACCTAGGTGTAAACATGCAGACATAAAGTATTAAAATGTTGAGGCCTCCAGCCAGTGCCGCCGATTCGGGACGCTCCGCGACGCTCCGTGCATTTCGTCAGCATGTTGGTTCGCCTGTGACATTTACCCCGAAGAGGGATAATCAGGAGGGAGGAGGGGGGAGGAGGCGGAGGGGGACAAGGGAGAGAGGGAGGAGGGGAGGGAGCGTGCTGGCAGTCGCCTCAGGCAGCACGTCGTGCTGATTGGAACCTTTGCCTCGTGTCTGGCTGTCGAGCTTGATGGAGGGCCAGTTTCAGGAGGGAAAGAAACACACAGACACAATTAATCGGCGACTCCCCAGAAAATATTGGAAAATATGGGAAGCGGGGGGGAAGACGAAAACCCAGAAAATATGAAACAAAATATGGGGAATCTGTTTATTTGCATGTATTGATTCGTGTGTCCCAGGGCCCCTCCTTAGTTCCCTGACGGGTTGGCTGCTTGGTGGGTCGTTGGGCTTCTGGGCCCGGGCCGCGGCCTATTGGCCCCGGCCCTGGCCCCGGCTTGGGCCGCGCTCCGGGCCGCGGCCCGTGCTCCAGCCCCGTGCGCCCCGGCAGAATTCACCTGGGCAACTTCCTCTTCACAGTGGGATCTGCAGCTTTTTAGAATTCGCAGGCCGGATCGGGGGATAATAATTCATATATATATATATATATACACCTAAATGTGTACATATATATATATATATACACATATGTGAACATATATATGTGCATGTATATATAAAGGTGTACTCATATGTGTGTGCATGTATGTATGTTCATATACACATATATTTATGTACCGATTTGTATATATATATATGTTCAGCACAGTCCCCCAAGCGTATCTTTCTTACCAGCATTCATGTACGACGGTGGTGCTATTCCTTGCCTCCTCCTCTTCCTCTTCCTCCTCCTTCTTTATGTTTGTCGCTCTCCTTCTCTCTCTGTATGTCTGTCTCTCTCTCTCTCTCTTTGTTTTGTTTGTTCTCTCTCTCTCTCTCTATATATATATATGGGTCCCTCTTTCTCTATGTCTCGCTCTCTCTCTCTCTCTCTCCTTCATATATATATATATATATATGTGTGTGTGTGTTCTCTCTCTCTCTATCCCTCCTCTCTCGCTGGTTGGCTTCCCAAGGCGTGGGCCCCGATCCTCACGCGTGAAAGCGCCAAAGTTTGTGATGTCAGGGGTGTAACAACCTTTTGTTTCCGTTTGGATGTTTGGGAGTTCTGGGATGAGACGTGAGACATCCATGCGTTTTTCATGTGGACTCGTAGGATTTCAGTGGTTTTCAGCCTTCCAACGGCAATCCCGCCTAGAAGCTCTCCCTGGAGCTCCGATCCTCAGAATGCCAAGCATGCAAATGAGAACTCAAGGTGTGCGATGCACGGGGTCTGGAAATCCTGTGCTTTCGTTTGGATGTTCTGGGATTTCTGGGATGAGAAGTGAGGAAACCATATGTTTTCACGCGGATGTCTGAGATTGTTGGGTTTCTGCGGCTCTGAACTTTCGAGGGCTCCTGGGCGGGATTTTCGCTGGGAGATGAAAATCCCCCAAATCCAAAAAGCCCACATGAAAACACATTATTTCCTCATCTCACACCCCAAACATCCCAAACATCAAATGAAAACACTGGGTCTGGGTACCCCTGGCGTCGCGAACCCTGCGTTTTGACAGGGATTGTTTTGGGTGTGTGGGATTCTCTCTTCATCCGGCGAGGACCCCTTTTCCATTTGAGCAGATTCCAGACCCAGCTGATTACAATTTGATTCCTATTGGGATGCAATTGGGAATTAACTTTTGGGTGGAGCAGCTTTCCGATTCAGCTGATTCCAATTCGATTAGCATTGGAATCTCTACTATCGGATTCTAATTGAGCAGATCACAGACCCAGCTGGTTCACATTGGATTCCCATGGGAATCGAAGTAGAATCTGACTGAAATGGTGCAGGTCTTAGATCCAGCTGGTTCCAATCATATTCTTATTGGTATATAATCAACATCGACTTGGTATTCAGCAGATCCCATATCCGGCTGATTCCGATTCGATTCCTATTGGAATCGAACTAGGAATCTTCCTGGAATGGAGCGGATCCCAGACACTGTTGCTTCAAATTGGATTCCAATTGGGATCGAACTAAAATCGAATTCGGATTGGGCAGATCCCAGATCCAGCTGATTCCAATTCGAAGTATAATCTATTTGGAACCGAGCACATCCATGTCCAGCTGATTCCAATAGTATTCCTATTGGAATGCACTTGGTATCTAATTGGGGTGGAACGGATCCCCGATGCAGCCGGTTCAAGCTGGATTCCATTTAGAACCCAATTGGAATGGAACATATCACAAGTCGAGCTGGTTATGATTTGATGTTCGTTGGAGTCTAATTAATTATCCTGGCGAAGTTACCAAACCTTGTGCTGTTGTGAGTACCGCCGTTGTGAAACACGCCTTCTGTGGAGCTCCCTGCGGGGCCACGAAAAACGTGAAGGGAGCCTCGAAATCCGCTGGGGCCTTCGGTGGAGCTCCCTATGGTGCCACGAAGCGTGTGAGGGGTGTGCCCCAATGAGGGGGGTGACGGAAGCAGGGAGGAGCGGGAGTAGGAGGAGAGGAGGAGATGGAGGGGACGCGGAAATTGTCTCTTCAAAACGAGAACCCAACACCACGGGATGGTTGGGAAGCATCGAATGGAGCAGATCCCGGATGCAGTGGGTTCCAATTCTATTCATATTGGAGTCGAATTAAAAGTTTATTCGAATTGGACAGATCAGAGATCCAGCTGGTTTCAACGGAATCCCTACTGGGATCTCGCAAGGCTCTAGCTGGAATTTCGCAGATCACGGATCCAGCTGTTTCCAATTCGATTCCCATTGTTATTCAATGTGAACCTAATTGGCATTCAGTAGATCCCAGGTCCAGCTGGTTCCAAGTTGATTCCTAGTTGGATCGGGTGAGAATCTTATTGTGCAGATCCCAGATACAGTTTATTTTCAGTGGATTCCTATTGAGACCGAACTGAGATTTAATTCGAATTGGGCAGATCCTGGATCTAGGTGGCTACAGCTTCAATCCCAAACAAACCGAATCAGACTTTGACTGGTATTGCGCAGATCCCGAATCCAGCTGAGTCTGAATATATTCCTTTTGTAGTATAATCAGAATCTAATTGACTTAGGCACATCTCAGTTTCAACTATGGCCCAGTGGATTCTCATTGGGGTCGACTTGGGTTTTAATTCGAATGGAGCGGATCCCATATCCAGCTGATTCCAATTAGATACCAGCACGAACAAACAGCTCAGAAATGACGAATAGGAAGGATAGATGAGCAGGCGCGGATGAACAGAAGACGGATGAACAGTATGAGCACGATTGAAGGATTTAGAGTCCGATGCACAATGCAACATAAGTGGGCGTTGGGGGCTGTGCACGCATGTATACATCTCATTGGTCCATATATCAGCCGATCCGACCGCGTGGCCACAGGTCGACCTCCGGACGGAGGCGCGTCATTGTCCACCACGTTCTGAAGATTCCCAGCCTTGCAAAATCATATGTATATACACATGGACATGTGTACATAGGTGTGTATATATATGTATGTAGGTGTGTCTGACTTTTACGTATTAGCCACGTGTGTTATTTTCTGTGTGTTTTCGCGCCGTCAAGCAAAGCCACGTACTAGTGATGGTGTTGCCTGGATGCTCCAGCATACTCTGATCAATGACCTGGCGTGGCCATCTGAATTTTCGTTGGATTGGAGTACGCGCTTCTTTTTCTTGCCTAACTCTAATGACCACGTGCCCTCCCCAGCTCCCTGTGTTCATTTGTAACTAGCTCTCTACGTCTCAGTATAACCTTCTCTCTCGCTCTCTCAATCCCTTTTTCTCTTTTGGTATTTATATATATAGATGCATCTAAGACTGTAGACATACATATACTTGATTGCCTGCCCTGCTTCACATTCATCCACCCTCCCTCTCTCCTTCGTTCACCTTCGTGATTTGTTAGCGGTCAACAAGCTCCCTTGGGAAGTCTTGCGCCGCCTATTCAGCTCTCTGCTACTTCAGCTTCTCCACGCGCTCTCGTGTACCCGCTGCGGCTTTTTCCGCCTGCGCGTCCCTGTAAACTGGACCGCGTCTCCGATGCGTCAGGCAAGGCCACAGCTTGGCCTTTCTCATGGACCTGGAAGGGTCCCAGGCCTTCCTCTCCTGCAACTGGTCCCCGCTGGACCGGCTGGAGGCGTCATGTGGCAGTCTCTTGGGGGTTCGAAGCGGTGCGGGATTGCTTTGGGGCCGTCCGGGGCCCATTCCGCGCTGTCCTCGCGGTTGTCTAAGAGCCGTGCCCCGTCCGTCTGCGTCCGTCCGTCCTCGCGCCGCATCGAGGCCTGCCCGGATTGCGTTTGGGAGCGCTTTGGCCGCTTTGGGGACCATGAGTCCGCGAAGTGTCACGCCCAGGGCACCGTTCTCCTCTTATTCCCCCTCCACCTTACATATACTATTTCTGTTTTTTCTCCTTCTCGTTTTCCTCCTGTGATGTGAGCTGTTTTTGCTGTTATCCTTTTGCATCAGGGAGGCTGGGCACTTGATCTGTCTGAGCCATCAAAACATCCGAATGTTTCGCCTCCTCCTAGCGCCTCATATTTCTCCCAGCCGGTGATCGCTTCTGCCTCCTACTGTGTCTCCTTTCCTCTCGAAGTGTAGCGTGCCTCGAGGGCGACCTCAAGGACGACGACGAGCCGGAGACGACGACGGAAACGGCAACGACTAGGAGTCGACGGCGGCAGCGGCGGCGTTGGCGACGACGACGGTGGCGGCGGACGGCGAGCAGGTGTTCGGCGCGCCGCGAAGCGTCGACGGACAGCAGGGGTCGACCTAAACCGTGTCCCGGGCGGTTCTCTTGGCCAATCTCTTTCCGAGCTCGCTCTGCAGCAGGGGCGGAGGGGAGGCCAGGACGAGGGAGAGCGAGCAGGGAAGGGAAACGAGGAGCGCACCGCTTGCCTGGGCCGATCCCCGGCGGGCAGGTTCCGCGCCCTGCGGGACCTGTACCTGGAGTTTGGCTGCCTCCTGGCGGTCCTCTTCGCCCTGGCCGTGTCGAAGCTCCGAGGGCGCGGGGGGGCCCGCACGTCTCGTCGTCGTCCCCGTCGCCGCCGTCGCCGTCGTCGTCGTCGTCCTCGTCGTCCTCGCCGTCTTCGTCGTCGTCGTCGGCGTCGTCGGCGTCGTCATCGTCGTCGTTGTCCTCGTCGTCGTTGTCGTCCTCGTCCTCGTCCTCGTCGTCGTCGTCGAGCATCACGGTGGTTGGCAGCTCCGTTCCTCTCGGGGCTTCCGGGTGCCCTCGGAAATTGCCGCGGAGGTGGAAGCGGAGGCCGGGGCCCCGGAAGCCAGGCTTTATGCCAGCTGGGATCCTGCCAGGTCCAGGCGGGGGAGAGCGCTGGGCATGCGTGGAGGCTGCCCGGGCCCACGGCTGCAGGCGCCTCGGGCGTGCCCAAGGCCCCGTCGGAGAAAGGAGGGAGGAGGAGGGGATGGGCGTGGAGGGGGGAGGAGGAGGAGGAGGAGGAGGAGGAGGAGGAGGAGGAGGAGGAGGAGGAGGAGGAGGAGGAGGAGGAGGAGGAGGACGAGGACGAGGACGAGGAGGAGGAGGAGGAAGAGGAGGAGGAGGAGGAGGAGGAGGGAGGGGTGTGGATGGGTGTCGGGCGATCGCAAACATGGATCAAGGGGGCGTGGACTAGCGACGGGTCCCGTTTCCATGGGAAAAACCGCGGATATCCGCCGCCGAACGGGGCGGGGCGGCGCCGGCCGCACTTTGGGGAGGGCACCTCCCTCGATACATGGATTGGCGACCGCGCGCCAAATCCTTGGATCGCTAATCCATGTTTGTGCGTCACCGAGGGTGTGGGTGAGAGGTGAGAGGGCAGGAGAGCGCACCAGCGTCAGGAGCGCGCCGCCGCCGCCGCCGGTCGCCGCCTGTCGCCACCCGTCCCTCCCGCCGCAGCCGTTGTCGCCGCCGTGGCGTGCCGCCGTCGCCGCCGCCGCCTCCGCTGTCGCCGACGTCGTCGTCCGCGGCCGCTGTCGTCACCGCCGCCGCCGCCGCTGCCGTCGTCGTCCCGCCGCCGAGGCTGTCCTCCTCCTCCTCCTCCTCCTCCTCCTCCTCCTCGTCCTCCTTCGTGTCCTCCTCCTGCCCCTCCTCCTTCGTGTCCTCCTCCTCCTCCTCCTCCTCCTCCTCCTCCTCCTCCTCCTCCTCCTCCTCCTCCGTCGCCGCCGCCGGCGGTCGCGGGGCGTGCGCAGGGACATCGCCGCGCTCGGGCAGGGCAAGCGCGACGACTGAGGGCCAGCGGCTGGCGGAACGGCAGCGTCGCGGCGGGGCCCCGCCGGCGCGGCGGCGGCTCGCGCGGCCACTGCGCAGCCGCGGGCTCGCGCCGGCGTCGCGCAGCCGCGGGTGCGTCGGGCAGCCGCGGGGGCGAGGGCCTCCGAGGTGGGCCCGGCCGGCCGAGTGGTGAAGAAGTCTGCCGCCAGGGGGACGGGGATGCGCGTAGGTCAGGGAGGGAGAGAAGGACGTACCTTCGTTGCCTCGATGCGCGCGTTTTGAAACGCAACACGTCCCGTGGTCAAGGCGTCCGTGTCAGTACGTTGCGTGTTGGCTCCACGTGTTGGACCGCGTTCTGGCGAATGTATCGCGTCGGACCTACGTTTTCAGCCTACGTGTTGAGCTCCGTATCAATACAATACGTGTTGAGTGTTGCGTATCGGGGCAGCTCAGGGACGTACACGTACATGGATGCACGTCGGTTTCCAGAGTGCAGTCGGGGCGCTGAAGAAGGAACCCTTTCCGTTGGGGAGGGGCTCGGTGCTCTTGGATTGTTTTACAGTTTGCCTTGGGTTTTCCTTAGGTTTTCCATGCCAGATCGAAGTTTAACTTATGGGAAAAAGGAGCCTCGTTTTTTATTTAGGGTTCCCTAGGTTAACGCCCTGAGTGTACGTATTGCGCGAATGTTTGTATCACGCGGCCGGTTTCGCGGAACGTGGTTGGTCGTGTTCATGTACGTGGTTGGGCGCGTACGTCCTTTGTGGGCTCCCTAGTCGCTCAACATTCTCTACAGTGGGGGGGTGGAGAAAACAGCGCTTTTGGCAGATTTTGGGGGGCCCATGTTTGTTTTACACCGTTTGGAGAATGTCGTCGCGGCCAGCACGGGAGTTGCGCCGCAAGCATGGGAGAGCCTTCGTCCGACACGGAGCGCTAAAATCGAGCAACGTAACACATGTGAGAAGGCTTTTGCCTCACATTGCCTCGTTTGGGAAATGCGGTTTCCCCGCCCCCCATGTGCGTCCCCCCCGTGAACAGTCACCTGACTCCAGGCGATCCCCATCTCCTCTGGACCATGGTGTCTCAGCCCCACCAGCCCACTCCCCCCTTGGTGGAGATGGGTGCGGCGAAGCCCTGACGGAACTGCATTGTCTCCCCACCTCTAGAGGGGTACAAGCCCGCCAGCGGGGCCAAGGCCATCCCATCATGGGCCTGTTTCCCACCACCACCACCATGAGTTGGAGGGGGAATGCGGTGGAGGATGGGGAGGAGGACGAAGAGGAGGAGGAGGAGGAGGAGGAGGAGAGGAGGAGGAGGAGGAGAGGAGGAGGAGGAGGAGGAGGACGAGGACCCCCTCCTCCTCCTGCTTATGGTGGTGGTGGTGGTGGAAAACGAGCCCACCGTCCCCGTGAGAGGCCCCGCCGAAGCAGAGAGGCAACATTGCACAGCGGGCGGCCCAGCGCCGACCTCCAGGCAGTCCGGGCGGGCGTTCGAGCGCTGCTGCCCTCGTGGAGCTCTGCTCTCGTCGATGCGGGGCGCCCACGGGGGCTGTGGAGGCCGATCAGAGCCTGTTTTTTATAGACTCTGGCAAGTTTACTTGCATGGACGGGGGGGGGGGGGCTGAGCCTGAAGCAAGCCCGGGTTGGGGGGGGCGCGGAAATCACGCAAGTCGAAAGGCACTTGCACGCTAGTATTCGCTTGAAGCGGGGCGAGGGGGGGGGGGGGGGCGAACGCCATGCAAGTAAGCTTGCCTGAATCCAGAAAAAGACAGGCTCAAACCCACAGGGCTGTGGAGGCCGATCAGTGGAGAGGAGGCGTGCTGCCAAAGAATCTCCAGATGTCTATAGAGCACGTGCTAACACTGAAGTAAATATGCAAAACAACACGTTTAAAACATATTAAATATACAACGCAACACGTTAAATATGCCAAATAATCTCCAGATGTCTGGAGCATGTGTTAAAACTTGTTTAAACATGCAAAAACACACTTCAAGCATGTTAAGGACATGTTTCCGACATGTTAAAACACATGTCTAATTCGATGATAGGACTGTTTGGGTGTCCATTGTCGTGGCATCCGCAACCACAGGGGCGCGAAGAGAACCGCGTGTCGTGTGTCGCGGTCTTGGCCAGAGCGGTCGTGTGTCGTGGGGTTGCCCTTCTCCAGGCGGGGGGGCGCGAGGACGCGAAGGGTGATCGCGGGGCGCGATGAGCGTAGTCAGGTGACTCAGCGGTGCCTCCTCTTCATTTCGACAGGCGTCGACAACATCATCGACGGATGCGGACCCGCGGATTGAGGAGCTCACATCGTCGAATGTCTGGGAATAGGATCGGGGAGCACTGAGATGAAGACCGGCACCGCTCCCTGCCCTTTCGGACCCGGACTCGGAGGTCTTCAGTTCGTCCGCCCATCGGCGGCCGCTGCCAGTTTTGAGCAGTGTCTGCCCTGCGGGCATCGCCCCCATCACTCCTGCCCCCCTTCCCGAGCGTTCCGAGAGCGGAGAATGAGGCGGGGCCTGCATGCCGAATGGGGGCCCCGAGAGAGCAAGGCGCACTCGTGTCTTCCACCCTCGTGCTGGCCGCCCGGGGCCCCCTTCCTGGCTCCCGGGGCTGCCACGAGAAGGAGTCGGGGCCTCGGAGACGGGTGTCAGTGCACACGGGGGGGAGCCCGAGTCGACCGAGAACCAAACGGCACCACCCCACCTACGGCCCCTCCATGCGCGTCGTCTATTTTCTGGTCCACAGAGGGCCGGATCTTGCAGGATCCTGCAGAGCCAGGGTGCTCTGACCCGGGTCTGGATTGACCCAGGTCAGTAGATTTAAGTCGGCCGTGCCCCTCTACAGGAGGAATAGCCCGAAAAAGTTTAAAACATAGTTTGGGGATGAGTTTGGGAGTATCTGTCTCACCATTTGGGGGCATCTGTGGACTGTGTTCTAACTCTCGTCCAAAATCCGCCTGTATACAGGGGACCTGCCCGACCTCGCAGTAGATCCCTGAAGGAACGGGTGGTCCCGAGGGACGCCCCGCGTCCCAGGGACGGTCCCCCTCCGGAGCCCGGGGGGATGCGGGCGGGGGCGGGTCACAGCTCGCCCGGAGAGCGCTGCTCGCCACGAGCTGGCCAGCCCCCCCTTGCCACTGCACGGCAGGCTCGCGTCGTGTCGACCGGCGGCGACCCCCGCCGCGGGCGTTCCACGTCGCACGCCGCCGGCGACCCAGGGTCGCTCGATGTGGGGCGATCGGAGGGAGCCTGTTTTTTTTGGACTCGGGAAAGTTTACTTGCATGGCGTTCGCCCCCCCCCCCCCCCCTTCGCCCCTCTTCAAGCGAATACTAGCGTGCAAGTGCCTTTCGACTTGCGTGATTTCCGCGCCCCCCCGAACGTGCAAGTCGTTTGCGGCTTGCTTCAGGCTCCGCCCCCCCACCCCCCCGTCCATGCAAGTAAACTTGCCAGAGTCTAAAAAGAACAGGCTCAGGTTGCGGAGAGGGCTAGCCTTTCCAGGCTGAACGATCCCCGCAGTGTCAGGGACCAGCGCGGGGGTCGGCACGACACGAGCTTGTGGCACCCTGGTCGCCCGCCGTGGCTGGGGGGCAGCTCGGCGCCGCAGACCTCCCGAGGCTGGCCAAGTTGCGTGTTTGCTTCTCCCTCCTGGCCCTTTCGTGTGCAGTGCGCCCGTGGGATTTGCTTCGAGTGGCGTCCCCCCATGGCCGTCTACGCTGGGAGAGCTCGAAGGGACCGCCGGCGGCAGAGTGCAGCACAGTCCACCCGCAGAAGAAGGATGGGCATCCTTCCCAAGGGTACCCATCCCAGAGTGCATCCTTGCGCCCTCGGCCCATCCTTCGGGGAACGAAGAAGGTCCGCGCGGATTTCTCGGATCCGCGCTGGACCCCCCTGGCGGCGCCTCCGGCGCCGCCCCTGGCGCGCTTCTGTTCATGTCATTTGTCGCTCCCGTGCGAGGGGGGGGGGCCCGTCGCACCGCGTGCTCGTGACCCCGAGCAGGGCCCCGCCCCGTCGCGGCGGCGGCGGCCGTCTGGATCGGGGGCGGTAGAGAGGGGGGTGATGACTAGGAGGGGAGGAGGAGGAGGAGGAGGAGGAGGAGGAGGAGAGGAGGAGGGAGGGAGGAGGAGCGCCCCCGGCGGAGCCTTGGCCGCCTTCGCTGGGCCCGCCCGTGGCGGTGGGGCCCCCCCGCGGCGCAGGATCGGAGGCCCTCGACGCGACCGCTGGTGCGTGTCTACTCCTCCTCCCCCCCCCCTCCCCTCCTCCTCCTCCTCCTCCTCCTCCTCCTCCTCCTCCTCCTCCTCCTCCTCCTCCTCCTCCTCGTCCTCCTCCTCCGCCTTCGCTGGCCGTGCCCCGCTCGAAGAGCCCCGAGCTGGCCTTCCAAGGCCCTGGGCAGCTCTCTCGCGCCTCCCTCCGATGCGGGCCGACTGTGCGTCCTCGGGCCTCCGCTCCAGTCGGGCCTGTCCCTCTATCGGGGGAGCGTAAGACCCGGGTTTGCCAGGACTCGGGTTCGCCATCGTTTTTTGACGACCGCGCCTCGGATTTTGACGAGGAGGAGTTTCGTGGGATGTCTGCAGCGGGAGGCCTCGTCAAAATGCAGGCTCGGCCTCGTCATTTTTTTGACGACCTCGTCGGGGATTTCCGAATCCCCTGTACCCAGGTCTTACGTCCCCCTGACTCTACAGCAGAAAAATGTTCGAAAATAGTCACAACATAGTTTGGGAACGATGTTTCAAGTACACGTTTGACCATTCTTGAGCATTCCCTTACTGTTTTCAACTCTTCGTCCAACATCCGCCTGTAGGGGGGCATGCCCGACCTAGACGCCTCGGCTCTTCTCCAGCCTCTGGAGGCCTCTGGGGGCCCCTGCAAGAAGGATCGCGTCTCGGCCAGAGCGTCACCCGGGTCACGTCTCTGGGCCTCTGGGGGGGGGGGGCGGGGCGTCCGTGCCGGGTCCTGGGGCAGGAGGAAGATTCAAAAAATAGCCCGGGGATGTCTTTTTGATTATTTTTTACTACTGCTGGACATGTTTGGACTATTTCTTATCTTTCGTCCAAATTCTTTACGCTTCGCGTATCCCCACCAGCCCATCTCAAAACAGCAACTCTTGCGAAGCATGCCGACAGTCGTGTTTTTCAGGCGTGTTTCCGCCTGCCCCCACATATCTCCCCTGTTCCTCCTTCCTCCCGCCTTCTTGTACATCCTCCTTGTGGTGGGAGCGGGAGAAGGACGAG